TGTTGGGGAACCCCTTCGCTGCTCCATGCTTGGCTGTGCTTATTTATTTAAATTGAAAGTTCCAGCCCTAACCCTAAGGTCTGCAGCTCAAACGGGGGGGTGATGTCATAGTCCAGCCATGTCCACCATTATGGCTGATGAGACTGAACCTTTAATTTTCCTTCTGTTCCCCGCATGCTCCCGTTTTTTGTTTATTTGTTTGTTTCCGGGAACTTCAGAAACACGCTGGTCCCTTTAGTTTGCTTTGTGACTGGATGGTCCCAGTGGTTACCATGCTAAGAGTGGCACCGTGCCCTAGATGTTCCCTAAGGTGCAGGCGTTTCGAGGTCTGCTCTGCATGTGTTGATATCTGGGAGCAGAGAGTGCTGTACTCCTTCTCTTGGGTAAAGCATGCTGGTAATGAAATCGCCTCGTACAACAGGCCATTAACATGGGGAGTTCGGTAGCAGCTATTGTGGCATATTACAAGCAAGTGTTACTCCTGCCATGACAGTTTTATTTGGGGGGGGTTGTGGATTTAGAAAAACTGGTTCAAGTGGGTTATTAGTGTGTGATTAACCAGCTGTGTGGTCTTGTAAAACATTGCTGGGTGGGGGGGGGAGGCACACGTCTAGCTCTGCTTTTAAAATGGAGACGGCTATGAGTGGTGGATTGTTACATTTTATATTACACTGATTTTGTTTGTTTCATATCAGTCCATGGATATTAATTATGATGTGATTTGGGTCGTTATTTCTTTCCTTCAGGGCTTCATGTTTAACTCCCCCAGAATTCCCCCCACATTGAGAAACTGAATAAAGATGACAAACTGAATGGACATAAAATTTAAATCTAATTTTAATAAATCATACAAAAATCAGCTTTTTCTTGTTGGGCATAATATTAGGAAACTTGACAATATGGTCGCAGGTTTGATGGATTGCCCCCCGTCCTCGATTTCTATGGGATTGTCCCGTATTGGAAAAATAAAGTGCTCCGTTCGGACCCGATGCGGTGCGTGATGTCTCATATTTCGTAACTGAAGGTAGAGACCCTAACTGCTGGTGTCTGTGACTGCAAGCGCTTGCAGTCAGTATGTTCTGTTGGATGTTGAGGCTTCAGGTGCAGTATGTCCAGTTTTTGGCAGCTTGCGGTACACGGCACCAGCCTGTTCCGTGTCACTTATAAATTGCCAGTGTATTGCCACACTACTGACCCCTTTTGATTATTCTCCTTTTTTAAAAGATGACCTCAAATAATCACATGTATTGGTGCCTCTACAGTGTCTGTGCAGCAGTGTTGAGCTGTCGCTTTCTGCACTGACACTGGTAGCTCTCTCTGAGGGAGCCTTATCTCTTCAGAACCTTAACAACAGCTCATGGCAGGCTCCACTGTCTCGACCAATATTGCCATGCCTTCTTAAGACTCCCATCTGATTGGCTGGAATCGCATTTGTTTCTGTGATTTAAGCTCATGTGTGCTATCAGGCGATGATCTTTGACAGTGAATCGACATTTCCCGTTCTCTTACCATTTACATTTTTATAAGTCGCCATATACTTTATATTACATAGCCGTAGTTGTTTGCCTAAATTCTGTAATAGAAAGTATGTTTGTCTGCTGGTTTGAGCATTTTCTTTCCCTTCCACAGAAAAACCTGCCATAGCTCCTCCAGTCTTTGTGTTTCAGAAAGAGAGGGCCCAGAAGGTGAGCTGTCACTTCCTGCTGCTCTGCTGGGGAATGTCATTCTGGAAATGAATGTTCCTGTTGCAATAGGTCTTCCCTTCCTAAGGTTATTATGTGGGTGAAGCTGCTGTGGCAGATGATGATGATTGACCAATGGCTTTTGCATGTTGGCTGCTCTTTCAGAGATCAGCTGATGGATCCAGTGCAGAAGATGGTGATGGTGAGTCTGGTTTTGTAAGGCAGCAGCTGGGCAAAAATACATTAAAATGTATTTTGACGCACTTACAAATAGGATATTTTGTATCAAAATAAAACTATAAAATAATCACCAAGCGAAGTATCAAAATAAACTGAAATAAACTTTTAATAAATTCAAAAATACATTTCATGTATTTCTGTGCTGTATGAGCCTGTTCCTTCACACTGACTCATGGCCAAGCATAAGAGCAACGTTTTTTGACTACTTGACTTCATTTGTATTGTGTCTTAAGTAAAAGAACGAATATTCTGAAGTGTCTACACACATGAACACTGATATTGGTAACGCAATAGAATAAAAAAGTAACAGCAACTTATATATATATATATATATAAGTTGCTGTTACTTTTTTATTCTATTTTTTATTTTATATATATATATATATAGACAAAACTGTTTCCTTTTTTGTACCACAGATGAAAATTCAAAACAACAATATTTAAAATGGCCAAGTGACAAACGCAATTTCAACACCTCTCAGTAATATCTGCATCTTAAAAGACGAATAGACCTGAATGTAGTTTGTAAGTCTTTTGGTTCGACACAAGTGATCAGCTTTTGGCTCTTATTGCCATTCATTAAAATATTTGGAAAAAACTAAACTTCCTCCTTTTGTATGTGTAAACGTTTAGCACACGTGACTTCATCGCTGCTGCGTTATGGGGACAGTATTTCTTGTACTTTAATGTGCATTTTTGTGTTTTGATACAAATTACATACTAATTTTTATGAAGTAAGTGAAATACAAAATTGTATTTTGTACTTTGTATTTAATTTATATTTTAAATAGTCAATCCTGTTTCAACATGACTAATACTTTCCTGAAATACCTCGGTCACTAAAATACACATGCCCAATGGCAGAATGAGCTTAGAGAATTGCAATTGCAAAATTTAGTAACTTACACCAAACAAAATGAATTGCATTATGAAAATGATACTGGTGGCCAAAAATGTAATTACATGCATTTTAAATAAGAAATAATACATTAAGAAATTACATCATAAACATCTCCTGTGGGTTTTATGAGTCTCACGCGAATCGCCTAGTAACCACTTCAACCAAACGTGCCGTACACAGCACAAATGCAGCCAATTATGGTATTCGGAGGGGCACTGAAGGCAACTTGGCTACAGGCAGTCTACAAAAGTGAATTTAAAAAGGTGGCTGTGTATTTATATGATAAATCGTCATATTTTTAGAGTCTGCCTCTTTGACCTGTGCAGTGCATGGATGCACAAAAAGTTTAGTTCTTTTAGATCTGAAAACCTGTTTGACTGGTTCACTGCAAAGAACCGGTTCAAAAGAACAATTCGTTCACCAATCAAACATCACTATCGTTTCCTTGGATAGCTGTTTTTGCTTGCAAGTAGTGTTTCTCGTTAAGACCGTATCACATTGTAGTGTACATAGTGCTTTTCACTATGACTGAAAATCACGCAAATACAAATGCGATTCCATGTTGTATTGCACTTGTTTACTAATATATCAATCGTGTTAGAACAGATTTACAGTGTGATATCGTGTTGTACCAGGACTGTGCATGTATCATAACTGCCCATCCCTGTTTGTAGAAACATTATATCAGTACTGGGGCATCTTCCTGCTTTTCTTTTGTCATTAGGGCTTTATTACTTTGCAGATTCAGACAAAGAAGATGGTGGTCCACCAGTGAAGAGAGAGAGAACATCCTCCTTAACGCAGTTCCCACCGTCACATTCTGGTAGCTCTCTACACTTTGTGTCCATTAATTTTTCTTATGTTTTAGTCTTTTATTTCTATCTTTTTGATTAATTGTAGGAAAATCGTAGTTTATAAGCAGTTCTTTGCATACTTTTCTTACCGACTTTTTTTGCAGCGATAATTTCATTAATTTTATTTTGTTTATAAACAATCTGGAAGTCTAAGTATTGTTACATATTGGTGTTTTTATTACAGTTTCCAAGAACAATGTTTTCATGCCATCAAGTTTATGTCAGTCGCCATCTGGAAATTCTGACTCTGAACCTGGTGAGACCTTTGATCTTTGTTAGTCATCTTGAGTTTATGTAATTTAAAGGAAATGACATTTTTGTACTGTACTACTTGTTGCTGTTGAGTTCCTACATATTTTGAAAGAGTCTTCAATGTGCGATGTCCCATGCTGTCGGCGGTTAGGCAGGAGTCCATTGTGTCATCAAGGCAGCCTGCATTAAGCTCTTTAAGCTGTCACTTTGCTGTCTCGCTTGTAGCTATTCTGTTAACTGAAAATTCCGGTGTTTGATCGTGGGAACGTGTGTGAAACGCATTTTAGCCTCCCTCTTTCTGCATCCTTTCTTCATGCTTTGGCCACTTGAGCTAATTTAACAGTATGCAAGTTACAATAATGAAAGTCCATTGATCCGCCCTTTTGGGCCTTGGGCCTCCTTGCAGAAGAGAAGTCTTTTGGGTTCCGTCTGAAGCCCCCGAGGCTGATCCACGGGCAGGCCCCCAGTGCAGGTGGGCCCTCGCTCCCGCGGTTCCCTCCCCCCATCCTCATGACTCACTGTAGGCTGGCTTCCTGTCCATCTAAGCACTTAATTACATTTGATTGATCTCTTTGGATGAATTGCTTAAACTTAATTAGCATGATATGAATATTAAATGGTGCTTTAGCTGCAGACAATTGTTAGGAATGATTGTTAAAGTGAAACTGCCATGATTGTTTTTCTTAACACTTCTGGTTTGCCTCTCTAACTCGAGTGTGTAGTCCTCGATTTTAAATAATGGGTAAGCCAAGTATCTTTCTAGTTTCAAAAATCGTCCCCCTATTTATCCATCACCCAGCTGCTTTTCCAGCACAAACTATTTTAGGCAGCTTGGGGTACCAGGCATACCCACTGTGGGCTGCGGAGAGATGCCAGTCTGCCTAACCTGTGTGAAAAAGCCAGAGTATGTCAAAGAAGCCCCCACAGCGCTGGCAGAACATGCACGCTGCACATGAACAGCAGGCTGCCATTCACACCCCCAGCCCTGGAGGTCTGAGGCGGCGCTGTGGCCTGCAGAGCCGCTGTGCCGCCCTCTTAACAGGTTTATGTTAAACGCAGCTGAACTCAGAATGCCAAATCATACACACCTGGGCTGGGAATATGGCATTCTGTAGGTCTTTTGGTGAAGGATACTGGGAGCAGCTCGAGGTCAAGGGACGTGCATTACGTCAGGAAATCGTCCAAGGAAATGACACTTCTAGTATTAACAGTCCGCCCCTAAGGCATGAGAGCGACCACTACTGAATATAGTAAATGACACACTGGCTGAAACGGGAAGCCCAGTGTCATCAAAGACTCATTGTCAGATAGGCTTGAAATGCAAAAGTATTAGGGGCAGTGAAGGCTGTGATGCTTTAAGCCCAAATCAAAGGGCTGTTTTCTTTCAGGGGTCCCAAGCCAAAAGCCCAAGGAGCAGCAGCGCAGTGTGTTACGCCCCGCCGTCCTGCAGGCTCCGCAGCCCAAGTCCTTCATCCTGTCCAGTGAGTCCACGTCTGTTAACCTTCTCTGTTCATCCAGTGACATTATACAGTTAATGTCTACTGACAGCTCTGTTTATCCAGTGACATTATACAGTGAATGTCTACTGACAGCTCTGTTTATCCAGTGACATTATACAGTGAATGTCTACTGACCAGCTCTGTTTATCCAGTGACATTATACAGTGAATGTCTACTGACCAGCTCTGTTTATCCAGTGACATTATACAGTGAATGCCTACCGACCACCTCTGTTTATCCCGTGACATTATACAGTGAATGTCTTCCGACCACCTCTGTTTATCCAGTGACATTATACAGGAGATGTAAATCTGTGTCTTTTAAGAGCAGAACATGTTTGCCAGTATAGTAGTGCATAAACTGTACTGTTGGTGTAGTGCATGCACATTCATTGTTTCTTGCTGATAGAACTTCTCGAAAGGTAAAGCTTAAATTTCTTAAGGAAGTAAATGGCAGTAGAAGCTGGAATGTTTAATAAACGTACAAACATAACGTGTTGTTTAGGAAATCCTTCAGAAACATACCTATCCAGATGTAATGCCAAGGAAGTCAGCTTGCTCAAGTGACCCGTCAGCTATATCGAGATGTATTTGCAGCTCATTTTGTAACTGCAGCTTGTTTTGTAGCAGTTCCAGACTCTAACAGCGGGACAAACGGAGTGAGTAAGTCCTCCGAGGGGCAGCTGACCTCGCGGAGCACCGCGGAGAGCTTGGATGGCGTTTCAGAGGAGACGGCCAAATCACAGGTGAGACACCCTGGCCACCCATTCTGACGCCGTGCTATCGGTGCATTCCGAATGCTTGGTACGGGGCGTGCTTCTGTGTGGAGCAGTATTGTCCGAGTGAGTCTAATGCTCATTTAATGTCTAGGAAGCGGGAAAATGGGAGAACTGAGTGAAAACAAGTGGCTCTTGATAGATCAAAGATATTCTGCTTAACTAGGTTTAGATTTAGTGAACTTGATATTGCAGGTTGGGGATGTGATTTATTGAAATATTGTATCTATAGTCATTTAAGAATAAAATGAGGTGCTTAACAGTGAGCCGGCATTTCTAGGCATCGTGGCCTTCAGTCCCACAGACTTTACGGCAGATTAGTCAGTGTTTCCCCACCCAGTCCCTGGAGACCCTCAGCCGGTCCGGGTTTTAGGGAGCTGCCCGAACCAGTGATCCCTGTGGCTCAAAAAGGCTGAATTTGCTCATCACTGGACATCGTGTGTGCGTGTGTGCGTGCATGCGTGTACTTGCTGTTTGTATGTTTGTGCACATGCCTGCTCTCTCTGAGAGGTTTGCCATGACTTCAGCTTCGTAGGACTGCCCGCCTTACCGCCTTGCTTAATTAACCATGCAAATGCATGGATACCATGTGGGACAATGTTTACTTGAGCCCTTCTTTAGCATACAGTAATTAGTTGCTGCATTTGAGCCTGCTATGGTCCCATTGTGTCCTAGGAAGATTGGATACTTTTATGTCAGATTTTATAACAAGCATGCTAGGCAAATTGTCTCTGGCCTCTTTAACTTCCTCCATGTGTGTTTGCTTTTTTGAAATATCCTTAAATTTATTGGAGTGACATTCACTGTTTTCAGAGCTAGTATTGTACCATAGCAGCCAGGCTTGTCATAAGGACATCACATCTTTACTCTATATTTAGTTACAGTGCCTGGCTTTAAAATGGTAAGCTTTTAAAATACCCGTCTGCTTTCCATAAATGCTTGTCCAGTGCAGGGTCATGTTGAGCCTGGAGCTGGTCCAGGGTGGGCGACACCCTAGACGACATGCCAGTGTGTCGCACTGGCACACAGGCACTGTAGAGACCCCAATCCATGTCATGGTTTGTGGATGATGACAGGAAAATGAGTGGGTTCCCCCAGGGGATGTTTGTGCTGAGGACGGGGACAGGGACCGGGGATGGGGACGCCACGGCCCACACTTCTGCTGCCACAGTGCTGTTCACTGGGCCGCAGTGCTCCTTGTCACAGTTGAAAAATAAAGCAGTTAAGCAGTTGTGAATTGTGCTTGCAGTCCTCATGTTTACAGTAAACCATGATGGTGAATCCATGGACGGACTGTAGTTACAACATTCTTGTTCCTTCAGGTGGAACAGAATAGTGAACATCTGGAAATCAAAGAGAGCTGTTCTGTAGCAAGCGAATCACAGTCGGGGGAGACTAACTACTTCTTACAGTACATCAGCCCTCCCAGGTAACGCTTAGGGGAATTAACAGCCTCCCCCCCACAGCCCCTGCATGGTTTATTCCAAATTTCGTTATTTGTTTTTCAGCTCAAAGAAGGTCTCTGACAATGCCGATTCAGGATCAAAGTTTGTTTTTGGACAGAATATGTCTGATCGTGTTCTGGTGAGTCCTCGGGAAGGATGGAAAAATACAGCAAAATACTTTTTATAGGTTGAAATGAGCATGAACGGCGACAGGTTCATGCTTTCAGAACAGAAGTAAGTTTGCTTATTGTCTCCATTTAAGAGTCCCCCGAAGTGCAGTGAGTCGTCAGCAGAGGGCAGCAAAGAGCCCCAGGCTGCTCCGGGATGCGAGACCACCTCAAAGGATGCCACGCCTGAAAAAGGCAAGATAAACAGGCTTAACAAATGCGTCTCAGGTCCTTTATTAACCATTATACTCATTATGGTGGCCTGTGTGTGCTTTTACACCAATCTTGGCACAACATGTATTGTAACGAAGTACCTTTCCCTGTGTCATTGACTGCTTTGCTGCTTGCCGTTACAGCGAATAGCGTCGCTGAGTCCTTGGAGGAGTCTGCGGCAGCCTACACCAAAGCCACCGCCAAGAAATGCTTGTTGGAAAAGGTGGAAGTCATCACTGGAGAGGAGTCTGAGAGCAACGTCCTGCAAGTACGCCTGAGCTTCCCCTGCAGCCTCAACGCCCCCCCACACCCCCCCCACGCCACCAGCGACGACACCGTCTGATCCGCAAGTGCATTGGCCTGCCGGCTTGTGCGAGTAGAAGTGTGTTAATCTCGGTGTCTCGTCTCCCTAGATTCAGTGCAAGTTATTTGTGTTCGACAAGACTTCCCAGTCGTGGGTGGAAAGGGGCCGGGGTCTGCTCCGGCTCAATGACATGGCGTCCACCGACGTCGGGACCCTGCAGTCGAGATTAGGTAACGGGGGCTGCTTTGCATTATGTCATTAGCCTGCCAACCCTGATGGACTTTCTGTGCATGCAAAGTCTGGTGCTGTACGTGGTCTCATTACCTTAGCAGTGAAGGATCCCAGTGATTTTAAATTGCCCATAGCCTTTTTAAGCATTTTTATATATCGTGATGCCTAATAGTAATCACTCTAACTCGCTAACGGGTGAAGCGAAAGTCAAACCTGTTACCCAAACTAGTTAATCACTCTTACTCCGGTGTGCTCCAAAACACATTGCCCCATAAATGTAGTAATATTGCGCTGTTTGTACCGGAGTCATTTTTACAGTGGGGTATATTCTCCTAGCAGTGATTCGGAATTGATGGCCTGCTAGCTGTCGTTACCTACCTGACCTCATCCTGGCAACACTGCTCAGTTTTATATGTGATTTCAGTTGCTGCCAGTGACATTGCATTGCGAGAGTGTCAGTGCTGTTTATGAGTGTTAATGTGATCTGCCGGGCTGCTTCAGTGCACCCAGCTGTGGGGGATCTGTTACAGTCAGCTGATTATACACATGTGCCTGTGCTTCAGTAATGCGGACCCAGGGAAGCCTGCGTCTGATCCTCAACACGAAGCTGTGGGCCCAGATGCAGATCGATAAAGCCAGTGAGAAAAGCATCCGCATCACCGCCATGGACACTGAAGACCAGGGGGTCAAAGTCTTCCTCATATCGGTACGTGTCGTGACGTTAATGCAGTGCGCGCACGCACACCCTCGCAGCCTCAGTCCCATGCAAAGCTCTGTCCCGGCAAACGTCTCTGTCCTCCCCCAGGCGAGTTCAAAGGACACTGGGCAACTGTACGCAGCCCTCCACCACCGCATCCTGGCCCTGCGGAGCCGCGCCGAGCAGGAAGCCGAGACAAAGCCGCCCCCCCTGGAGACAGAGGTGCCCCCATCCAACGAGGACGACAGTGACGAAGATGACATCGCCCCCGCGACCGGCTCCACCCCAGCCAGTGGTAAGTAGCTGCCTGGCTGCGGGGGGGGGGTGTTTAGTGCAGCGTGGAGGACGTGAGCAGCATCTGTCTGGATTTAGACAGTCTCCTCCTCTGGTGTGAGGCTGCACTTATATTAGCCTGTGCTATCAGTAAAAGCAGCAAACCTCTTCTAATCTGGCATGAGACACCGCAAGTACCTATTCCTTGAGTAATTTGTGTTACTCGTTAAATCAGTGTGCAGATAATTTAAACGTTCCTTAGGAAAAGATGCTGTCAGTCTGGGCAATAAGCACTTTTCTCTTCCTGCCCCAAATTTAATCTGACTTATTACCTCAGTGTTTCTTAGCTTGATTGCAAACCCTGAAGTGCCTTAGGGACATGTGCTTACTCCAGGGTCTCCAACTCCGGTCCTGGAGAGCTACCGTCCAGTAGGTTTTCTATCCTACCCAGCTTCTGATGAGCCGCAGCTGTTCTCAGGTAAATACCAGACAGAGAACCTCCTGGATAGTAGCTCTCTAGGACCCGAGTTGGAGACCCCTGGCTTACTCTAATGCCGTGTGTCCCAGTCCGCTCCTCGGGGACCCCCAGCCGGTCCACGTCTTTGCTCCCTTCCGGTGGGAATTTCCGGATTGGGAAACACTGCTGTAATGACTTTAATTCATGATTAAGTCTCAGCATGCGGCCGCAAGGCTAGTTTGAGCCACACCCTGATGAAAAGTACCTCTAGTGTGTGATTGAGTCCCGTGTGCTGGCACCCAGTCTGCCCCCCCCCCCACAGTGAAATGGAGCAGGCTTCACGCTGTCCCCCCCCCATTTGTGGTGCTGTATGGCAGAATGCTGGTGGACCTTCATGGCCGGCCCCCGGCGCCCCGTCAGAGCCACATGCTCTGGGTAGCCACTTGTGCTTAGATCTCCTAGCATAACCTTGTTTGTTCTCCACCCGTCAGGGGGGCTGTTCCACAAGGCAGGTTTTCTTCATTAGCCAGATAATTTAAGCCAAATGTATGGATTGTCCAATAGGAACGTTACTTACCCCTCTTCCTAATGGACAGTTTTCACATTTGGCTGAAGTTCTCCAGATACCTGGGAATTGCTGCTTCGTGGCACACGCCCCCTGGTGGTGGACACTGGCGACTCGGAGCTGCTCCAATGCAGATTTAAGCTTCCTGCTGTTTCTGTGGTATTAAATGCACTGACATCTTGTGTCTTGGAGCTCTCTGTAGAGGACCTGAGCAGACAGGAAGCCTGTGCTGACCTGCATGCCGCCTTTCACTTTCTCCCTTTTTAAGGGGTTTTCTGGTGATGAAGTTTGCTTCACCTCAAACTCCTCCTCAGATATTAATTTCCTGTATTCGTCACACTTGTACTGTGACCTGTTTTCGTGTTAATCTACCTTCCTACAATCAGTTTAATCTTGTCTGTGTTCAGTTTTCTGTCCTGATAGTGAAAGACCTAGAATTATTTTACCATTTTTATATTACTTTGCCAGCACTTTGTGCCCAAACATGGGGGCATCTTCCTTTTTTGGAGCTGGCATCAAAAGCTTCTAACATAGACATGTTTACGTGTCCTAGACACATTTAAAATTCCCCGACTTGTGTGTGGTAAGGTAGTGTAGTATTAGTCGCCCATATCTTTCTAGAATGTTTGGTCTTTGTCTCTGACAAGTTTAAGTCCAGTGAGTTGGTGTCTGCAGTATTTACTGCCTTCCTGACTTTTTATGACCGTGGTGTTTATTTCATTGTTATAACACGCATAACTGGAATTAGATGGATTTAAATCTATCCAGTGAAATTTCCTACCTGCGTCTAGCTGGGCTTACTGTTTAGCTATCTCGCAGGCTTATGGTTGTAAAACATAACCATATGTAGGGGTTGACTTGGGAACCTCCAAATGAGTCGGAACATTTGAGCTTTAAGGCATTTTCTACATATTACTTGTATAACAAATAACAGTGGATCTTTAAGTACACTGTTGCTGTGGACTTAGACTTGCCTCACTGTTCCTCCTCACTGTTCCTCCACCCCACAGCTGAACTTAAAAGCTGTAATGGGGAGCTTTAAATATTATTTACAGTTGGAAATAATTTTAATAAGGTTTAAACCTTGGACAGCTGAGATTTGGTAGTCCTGTGAGCTTCCAGGGCAGAAAGGGAAATGCTCTGGGTAGCATTTTGATGTTATGAAAGCAGTCTTCCTCTGTCTGACCCAAGCCTGTGTTTCTGTTCAGCACTGTCCCGCTGGTGGACACTGCGATTTTAAGGCTTACCTCCTCATTCCTGAGCCTGCAGTTATCCCTCTGTGTCTGTGCAGCGCTGTCCCGCTGGTGGACACTGCGATTTTAAGGCTTACCTCCTCATTCCTGAGCCTGCAGTTATCCCTCTGTGTCTGTGCATCGCTGTCCCGCTGGTGGACACTGCGATTTTAAGGCTTACATCCTCATTCCTGAGCACTTCCTTATCCCTCTTCCTCGCGTAATGTACTCGTGGCCAAACATGAATTTGCGCTACTTGGTAAGAGGTTTCTGTGCAGAGTAGCGCTTGTTTATGGTGACGTTGGGCTTGCGTGTAAATTCAATGCTGGGATTGTTTCTTTCTGCAGGCCCCCCAGAGGCTGGCGAGAGCTCAGAAGCCCCCACAGCCGGCAGCACATAGCACCCCCTGTCTGCCTGCCAGGACACTGCGGCTGGCACGTTGCAGGCTCGGGCACCCAAGGGACTCCTCTCTCCAGTCCAGTCTTTTGGTGGTAGCCTCGAAGAGACGGTCCACGCCGGATGTTTGACGGCTGAGCAGTTTATTCTCTCTGCGTTCATAGTAAACCAGGGTGATTATTTTTATTTTTGTTTACTGAAATCTCAGACCCCCTCCCCCTTCCCAGCATTGGTTGAGGACTTTGCATACTCATCATATTGATGAGCTAGAGGGTGCCCTGTAGATGGATTTGGGTCCCCCCACCCCTGCCCTGTGTGAGGTTATGCACATTTTAAGACTTGTTCCTGTTTATGATATCAGATCGCATTATTTGGCAGGAGAACAGAGACGTGGGACTTGCAGCATGACTCAAAATCATCACCTGCCACAATTTTGTTGTAAACTTACTTTGTAATTTGCATATTATCATTCATTGAATGACCTCTGTTACATGGTTACATGGTTATTTCTAACATTGCGTATTCCCTAGCTATACTGCTTAGTCACTTTTTGGCAACTGGTTTAATTTCACCCTGTTAAAAAAATTAGGACAAATAAAACTTGTTTAACACGTTTTTTCCAGTTGGTCTATGCACAAAGGGTCAAAACACCAATTTCATTATGAAAATGTTACACTGTGTCCAGTATCTGGCGTGCTGACGCTCGTCATCTGATTTGGTGTCTGCTTGCGTATTGTGTGCTCTTTGAAATTTGTACATTTGATCACCAGTTTGGAATTGGTGTCAATTTTTTGTGAATATTTGCCCAATTCTTTAGGACATTTTCAATCTTTTGCAACATTAAATGTTCTGTGTTTAGTACATTTCATTTAGTATTCAATTTTTATTTTTTTTATTATACAATGGTCATCTATCACTTCCACAGGTGATGTCTGATACACGTGTTGCTGCTTGTGTTTTAAAGCTTTTTTTGAAAATCCACTTGCAGGGGTGTGAGGTTCTCTGCTCAAAATGGGGTTGGACGTCACATTCAGCAGGTAATACAGTACCTACCCTCTCACTAAAGCGTAAACTGCATTCAGAGGCTTCGCTGCTGCTGCCTCTCATTGATTTGTGCATCGCGTAATGATCCACTGTGGTGGCGAGATTCAAGCTGATTGGAGAAAGTGCTCTGTGATTCCTGAGTAAACTGTTCGAACAACTTAATGGACCTCGTAATAACTTCCGCTTATGTAACTCTAGCTTTTGTCTGATTAGGCAGCATTTCTGGAGCGTCCCTTAACATTTTTGCTGTTGATGCTGTGAGCGCCGTGGTGACGGATGTTGTCAGCAGGGGGCGCAATGGGCCAGAACAAACCCAGGACACGCACATAGGTCTGGAGTTGCACACGTATATGCTGAGACATGCTATTAAAGCACTCCTTAAGGAGGTGACACTTGTCTGCACCAGGTTTTGGACTGGGAGAGATCCTCTTGGAATACTAAGTTATTCAGATTATGGCATCGCACAACAAGTGAGCAGCCTGCAGGTCACAGTCATTGCAATAATTGTTTTGCTCTTCGCCACCTTCATGTCGGGCAAATGCATTTCTAAATAAGGTTTAGGACTGGGTTCTATTTTCAGATCAGATTATGCATTTTTCTTTTTATAATTCAAAGATTTTGTTTTGCGTGTGTTTCCAAAGAATTTGACTACTGGCACCTTATTTCAAAGCTTGCTTTGGGTTCGGCCAATAATCCCTTTTTCGCCTATGTTACATATTGAACACCAGGTGGCGCTGTACATACATGAGGGCAAGATAAGTCACCAGTCCGTTCATGGCAAAAATACCCCTATTGTAAGATAAATGGTAAATCATGTAAATGCCCTTGTTTTGAACATTTTTTTTCAAGTTTAAAATTGGTTGATATCAAAATGTTTATGTGCTCCTTTTCTTGTGTGGTAGCAGGCGTTTTGATGTGAAAATATGTATTTTAACTTAAAGGGACAATACAAAGTAGAAGTACCGATGGAGATGTGTAAAAATTCCTTGTGTATATTCTTGAACAGGCAGCCTTATAGTGTAAAGGGGTAATTCCTTCTCATTTTGTACTGTTCACTGCAGTTCGTAGGTGTCACCGGTTTTCGTGCTTAACTCTTGTTTTATATTATGCTTATGTAGCAAGATACAAAGGATGACTCCTCTGCACACAGGGCTCACAAATGAATGTGTCGTGTTTGTACAGTTTAAGGCATTGTTTCCCAGTACTGTGGAATTTTAAAATATAAATGCAATGGAATTGGCTTTAACAGCTTTTTTTTTTTAAAGTCCTTTTTTTCCTGTCCTGTTTACATTTGACTTGGGCTGTTTACTGCAAATGGGAATAAGCAGTGTGAAAGTTTATTCCAACACGTCGGAAAGGTTCTTTTTCTGCTATAATACTAGTGAAATACAAAACGCTGCTGGTTTTTTGTAGGAATCCCTCTGGTTTTGCGTTTGCACACAGATCCTCCCTGTTACTATTTAACACTTAATCATTTTAGATAAAAATCATTGGCCCATTTTGTGGTGTTAATTGTAGAATTTTCATGAGATTTTTAAAAAAAACTTTATTTCTCCTTCCTCCATTGAACCTTCATTACATTTTAATGGTATCCGTCTAAACTTATTCGTCATTTTGACCTTAAGAGCATAAACCAGTGTGTTATACGCACAGCTTGTTATAGTTGCTGTGTTATTCAACATAGTTTCTTTGCCTTTCTTAATATTTTAAATAGCAGATTTCCACACCCTGACACATTTCAGCGTTCCGGACCCCCTGCCTCCGAGTCTCAGGCATGTGAGGGTGAATCCCAGGCCGTGTAGGTTTGAGTGTCGAGGTGCTTTTACGTTCGTTTGAGCAGCTTGTGTTCAGACTCTCTCCAGCTTACATATGAATATTTTAATCTTCTCCCTGCTGGATTCATTTCAGTGCAAAGTTGGGTTATAACAAGCAATGCAGAAGTATGAGTCTGTTTTCAACATACTGTAGGTAAAATGTTGACGGTATTGAATTTGGGCATTAAACTGGAATTACGAGATGTAAACACGCAAAGCTACACAACTAACTGAATTGTGTGTGTCTGTGTATATAAAATATATATCACACACACATTTTACGGTTGTATCATTGCTCTTATGAGCTTATATCTTATTAAAGGTAAATCTTTCCTCTGACATCCAAAAGACAGACCTGCAAATGGTAATTTGTGACCTTTTACTCAAACTTTAAACCGTGATGATTTATTAGTACTTTTCCTGCCTAAAGTTACTCAGAGCAGTAAGGTTTTTGGTTTTTCTTCTGGAGGTGTAAAGTAATTTTGAGCGAGGAATGGGAATTTGACTGGCCACAAAATCAGAATTCATTTTTGAGCCCTGTTATCAACTGTCCAGACTAACTTCACATGCTTTCAGCTTCAGTAAAAACAAATTTCTAATCTGAGACTATCACTTGTGTTTTAAAATGGTTTATGTGAAACTGTCCTATCAAAATGTATTTGATTACATTAAAACTTTTAACAAAATGTTGGTTTCCTGGTTGTCAATGTATGATAATTTATCAAGACATGTAATATTAAGCCTAGAAATTTTGACCGCATAGCTTTTGTGTGAGCGTAACTGCTTTTTAAATATGAAGATGCTAACATTTCACCTTTCTCCCGGGTTAATAGGGAGTATTATTTATTTATAATCTTCTTGGCCCTGTGTGTGTGCCCTGCTGTAATCGCCGAGAATATGAACTGGGCTTCAACACATTTTTGCATCTATGAGAGTGAGACTTTTAAAGAATGAAAGAAGATGTTTAAGCACTTGATGGTATTGCAATCTTAAATTATTGGACAGTGGAACTGCAACAGTAGATGTTCAATAGTGCGATGCCATTGCCATTAAAAGAATCGTCATTCTCTGTCCATCCTTCAGAACAGCCAGTGGATCCTTCTTTCCCTGCAAATATATGCAAAGACATCCTTCAGTAAAGTACTAAGTCACCAGCTGCTGCAGTATGCATAACCCTAAAGTTCAGGGCGGAAAAACACTCCTGGTGACGGGGGGGGGGGGGGGGGGTGATTCTGCGTCTAACTTGTGTCCCTTTTATCCTGTTTATCACCCCCAGTGGTTTTAAACTAAATAAATTCACTCTTGCCGAAAGTGTCATTCACTGCCTCCAAATAAGCCAATGCACAGCCTGGATCCGGTACGTGTGAAAATCGCTGTGGGTAAACTGGCGATCGAATGTCTGCCACGTCAGTTCTGAAGAAAAACGCACTGCTTAGCTTTTCAGAACGGGGTCAGGCATACAGTTTCCATGAATTTTTAATTATTACAAAATCTGCCTTGGCTTGTGTTCAGCTAATACTTAATAAAAGTATCTCTGTTTGCCTCCTGCATATCTAAGGACATTAGTTGTCTATTTTAATCCTTAATTAAAACTTCATAAGTTCTTGGATCCTTTATTTCCAACCTGTTATAAAGGTGCCATAAATAAATGAGAACTTCCTCTGAATGGTAACTGTCTCCATCCACGGCTGAAGGCTTTTAGTGTAGGCCAGTGTATGGCTACTGCTTGCCAATCCAGAATCCCGTGAAATGGTGCTGCATCAGAATTAAAATTGAATTAAATGCTTATCCATAATGTTTCATATAAATTACGTAAAAATGTATGTATGTCAGATTGCCTCTCCACCACCATTCAACCTAGCGTAGACGTTAGTCGCAAACAGGTACATATAAAAAATACTCAGTGCACTAGCTTGCATTTAATGTTCTTCAGATGCTTTGCGTAAAGCGCTATCCATAAATAATGGTTGTGATTTTTTTATATGCATAAAATTTTATGTAAGTAGAGGTTCGTATGCTGTCCAAACGCTTCAGAAATCCTTGCCATAATTTTTACAAGCAATCCCAAATCACCAACTAACCTCCACAGGATATTTAGATTGTATAAGTGAGTTGTCACAATGTTGATAGCTGTTTGCTTACTACACGAGTAGGCTGCCATGCACAGTCCTGTCAAGGGAGTAAATGAGATTAAAGAGTTAATCCATTTTTCGCCAGTTGTACACTAAAATGTCACCTGTAAATACGGTCCATGACAATGTAATGCTTATGTCTGTCTTATAAATGCAAACTGCACCTGGTATTTTACACTAAATAACTAAAAAATTTTAAGTTTCCATTTTTTTGCAACTGATATTTAATGTGGTATATAAGGCAATTTCATCCCCTCTGGTGGGACTTTTGTGGAAGTTCTCATTTATACAAACCTATTTCCAAAAAAGTTGGGATGCCGTGTAAAATGTAAAAAAAAAACAGAACACAATGATTTACAAATCATATAAACCCATATTTAATTGAAAATAGAACAAAGACATATCAAATGCTGAAACTGAGACATTTTATTGTTTTGTGGCAGATTTATGCTCAATTTGAATTTGATGCCAGCAACACATTTCAAAAAAGTTGGGACAGGGCAACAAAAGACTGGAAAAGTTGTGTGACGTTAAAACACCTCGTTGCATGTCTCACATCTAATTGTTATTTATTAATAAATAATAATGTTCCTCAGTGTTTTCAGTAGTCTTCCTGAGCCCATGCATTGACTCCCACTATAGAATCGTGTCTGTTGTTAATGCAGTGTCACCCTGAAGATCATAGTTATCCAAATTGGTTTTTGTCGTTGCGGATGCTCAAATTTTTTTAATGATATTATGTACTGTAGACGGTCAAATTCCCAACACAGCATCCCAACTTCATTGGAAACAGAACAGTAGATTGTCCTCACTGTTCAGATTATGAATGACTTGATGAATTTAATTGAATATAGTCATTGTCCAATTTCAGTTCATTGCAGTTTTTCTCTATCAAGCACATTTTCTTGAAACACAAACAAAACTTTGAAAAATTTCAAAAGCTTTAAGCGCATTCACTATATCAATTTATATGGTGCAGCTAATCGCTAGATGTCTTTTGCTAAAGGCCGTAATTTTCTCAAAATTCACATAAAAACTCCATAATTGAATGCAGTGTCACCAAAATAAAGTTCCCCGTTGTTATCACTTATATCATGACAATCAAAATGCTAAAGAATAATGTTAGCATGATATTTCTTTTTTCTCTTATCATTGAGATTCATAAAAATAAGGTCAAAAGTAAACTGAATGACGTGTGTCAACTCAACTTATGTATTGTTTCCATGTATGATTTGGAATACCATGAAGATGTATTGTTCCTTTACAGTAATACAAAATAAATTCAAAACTTGTTTCACATTCTACAGTAAAGAAAATGCCTATACATTGAAATGTATTAGGAAATGTATTAGCAATAGTGAATACAGTAAGTCAATGCATTGAATTTTTAAACATGAAATTAGTAAGGTTACTGGAATACCATGAAGATATATTGTATGATTACACAGCTGTCTTCCCTCCTGAAGGGCTGGGTTGCTGACAGCACAGTTCAGGCCGCTATCCCAGATGAGCCTGTCATGCTTAGGCTATGGCTGCGTACATCGTAGAGGATTGTGGGCCACATTTTGTTTACAGTGGCTGTGTCTGTAGCTCCTTCGTCCTTGTACTCTGCCCCTCTCTACCTCTCCTGGGTGGACCCTGGCTTGGGCCCCTTGAGCCCTGGGCCTTTAGTAGAGGCCTGAGTGATGACTCCCCTCCCCCCCGGGAGTCAGTCCGGTATTATCATTAGCCGCAGGGCTGTCTAAGATGCGACACCCAGCCCTGTTGCCTGTTTGTAAAGGCAGTTTTTTAATGAAATGTTCCAGCATCTAAGGCAGTGCTCGATGTTTTAAGAAGGGCAGTTGCTGTGGTAGGTAGTACACGATTTAGCAGAAACTATGGGTTTTGTGGTTCCAAAGCTCCTTCAGGTACCACAGAGAAGCTAGAGCGCATGGTCGTAAAATTGGTCTTAATTCCATGTCATTCATGGCAATAGAATCTGACTTACTACAAGCCTTGGATTTCAATGATATCGCAATGATATTTCAATGATATCACTGAGGGCCAGGAAATCCAGGCAAAAGCCAGTTTTATAATACAGTGTATCCTCGCACCTTGTAACAGATTTGACGCTTGTGAATCACCCCATTAAGGTGCATTTTCTCAGTTTGATGTTGATTTTCATGTCTTGTGTTGGCTAATATTATTGAGTTGTTTAGCTGCATTGCTGTGTTTTCAACATTAAACCAAAGGCCTGTCATTGTGAGCTCAGCTGCTATGGTATGTTATTTTCTTGTAATTTTGCCTTACTCTGCACAGCCCGGGGGGGACAGGCGGTGTGAGACATACAGGGAGGGGGGGCTTGGAAAATCTGTTCCCAGGGCCTGTGATCTCTCCATCCGCCCGATAGCTCTTACAAAACCACCCCGCATTTTACCTCTTGTCCTCTTGCAAGAACAGCCTGTTCACACTGTCAGATACCTGGATGTTCCATATTCTTCAAGAACTGTAATTCTTTGGTTTCAGAACTGGCAGTTTAAGATGAAACATAAAATTCATGCATAAATGGTTGCTTTTTAATGGAGGGCGATTTACTTACAAGTAAATCACAAGATGCACCTGTTTCAATTTTTTTTTGACACGGCAACAGTGCCAGATGACTGTAATTCATGTAATACGTATGTCTGGCTCTTTATGACTGTTGACTGGAGATTTGCATCATGAGCTTGTTAATTGTTATACGTGGATGTAATGAAATGCAGAAATGCTTAAAATGCTGTGAATAAATGCAGCGTCGATGCGGAGGATTAAACAAAGAGTCACAGAGGCTTGTGCTTAAGCCATCGAGGAAAAACTGTATTGGTTTTACATCCTTGCATCTCAAATATTCATTCTGATTTTGAGTACTTGGGCTTCTGAAAATCCTTCACTGCCTGCTCACTCTGAAAAGATGGGCGTTTGGTAGAATGCATATCTACTATGTTGAAGCTTTTCAAATCCCCCTCCCCCCCATGTGACTTGAAATGCTCATCGTTGGCTCATCATTCATGACACACTATCTCCCCTGTGCATAAAGCCACAACTGCAAATGGAAAGAATTATCAGCATTTACTTTGCTGCAAATCTGTGCAGCTTCTCACTTAATGAATCATAGCTTGCACTGAGAAACTCTGCTGCATATATGGCTTCTTTACTTACATTAATTACTCTCAATAAATCCTGCAAAATGTGCTTAGGTTTTTTTTTATCTTTTGGAAAGTAACAAGAAATGGAATTCTTAAATTGTAATTATTTTTGAGAATTGGATGGGACAGGAAACAGTGGATGCTTGTAATTTACTGTCAGTGCTCATGTTGCCCAGTTTACTGACCAGGTTGCAGACGTACATATGAGAAAGTTTATTTAATAATTCTGACAGTGCAGTCAGTGGTATTTAGTGGTATTCAGTTAATAAAGGTCATTTTCCTGCCTTGTTTTATTCATGGTCTAAGACTGTAGTAACATCTTATGGTGAATGTAATACGTTTCCTGTTTATCAGTTCTCATTACTGAATGTGAAGCAATACCCTAAATTA